GATCGGGGAAGTCTACGCAGTCCCAGAGGTCCTAAAGGCTGCCGCTCCTCAGCAAAGAAAGAAGAAGAAGAAGAAGAAGAGGAGGAAGAAGAAGAGAACGAAGAGGAGGAAGAAGAAAAGGAAGAGGAGGAAGAAGAGCCTGCTAATTGTTCCTGGCCTGTTGCTTCCCTAACTAACGTAAGATCTGGCGAACGTGCCGCGTGACCAGGAGAATACAACAGAAAGGAAGAGGCGCGAGAGGAAGGACCGCCTGCAGCTGCTGCTGCTAAGGGATGGGTCTCTCGCAGTTCATAAGAAGATGTTCTTCTTCTTCTTCCCCACGACAACAACTCGTGCTCTGTGTCTCTCTCGTGGCTGCTGCGAGTGCTCTCTTCTGTGTGGCTGCCGCTGCTGTCTGTGTAGCTGCTGCTGCTGCTGCTGTCGGTGCGGCTGCTGCTGCCGCTGCTGTCTGTGTGGCTGCTGCTGCTGCTGCTGCTGCTGTCCGTGTGGCTGCTGCTGGTGCTGTCTGTGTGGCTGCTGCTGCTGCTGTCTTCTGTGCGGCTGCCGCTGCTGTCTGTGTGGCTGCCGCCATGGCGAGACAGAAGAGGCCTGTCGTTATCCTCCTTGGTCGATACTGACAGATAATCAGCCGCAGCAGCTTTGCCTCGTCCTCTGCCACTTCTATCCTCCTTAGCCAATATGGAGATATATGCAGTCTCAGCTGCTTTGCCTCCTCCTCCTCCTCCTCCTCCATCAGTTCCCTTCACAAAGATATTGGACCTGTCTTTGTCCTCCCCGATCTCAGCAACTTCGTCCCCTACTCTGCCACGTTTCTTTATATATACGTGTGGCCTCTCCCCATCGTCTCTGGCTGATAGCGACACACTTCCCTCCTCAGCAGCTCCACCTCTTACGTCTCCTCTGTCACTTCTGTCTTCATATGTAACTGCCCTATCCCTTTCTTTCATCGCCGCTGATGACTGACAGCCGGCCTCACCAGCTCCTCCGCCTCCTCTGTCACGCCTCTTCCCACAGACGTCTGGCCTCTTCTTGTCCTTCCCATATATGTCTGGCGTGTCCCTGTCCTCCCCCCGGTTCGATGCCGACGGATATCCAGCCTCAGCACCTTCGCTTCTTCTTTCGCCTCTCTTTACCTCGGCTCTTCTTTCACCTCTTCTTACTTCACTTCTTCTTTCATTTCTCTTTACATACGTGGGTGAGCTGTCTTTGTACCCTGTTCTGTCCTGTCTGTTCGATGGCGACAAACATCCCCCTTCACCGCCTCCGCCTCTTCCTCCTCTGCCTGCTGCTCTTGCGTTTCTTATCCCGAAGACGTGAGAAGAAGAATCAGCACTGAGGAGGCCTGCAGCGCTGCCGGCAGTCGTCGTCCACCACTCGCTACTACTCCCACCAGCAGCAGCAGCTGCAGCAGCAGCAGCAGCAGCGACGTCTTCTGCTGCTGTGGGGGGCCCGGCAGGTCTGCTGTCGAAGAAGACGTCTCCATGCAGGCCGCGCAGCAGCCAGAAGCAGCAGGTAGTGAGCAGCAGCCGCTGCGAGTTGTTGGGAAAGAAGTGGATGGGCGACAAACTAAGAAGTTTAAAAGGATGAAGAGCTCGCCATAAAGAATGAAGAGCCCGCCATAAAGGATGAAGAGCTCGCCATAAAAAATGAAGAGCTCGCCATAAAGAATGAAGAGCTCGCCATAAAGAATGAAGAGCTCGCCACAACTTCCCTCGAAAACGAATACACGCGATCACCTGCTGCACGCCACGCAGCAACACCTGCTGCAGGCCGCGGCCCACAGCGGCAACGACTGACAAGCGAGACATGCAACAACCTTTATGAGAAAAGGTTCTCATCTTCGAGAGCAGCAAGCAGAGAAGGCGAACAAAAGACCAGACAAGAAGGGCGAGGCCACTGCGCAACACAGCCACATGGCGCGGACTGCAGCCTCTCCTTCTTCCCGCTGGTCTCCCGCCTTCCGCAGGGAAAGAGGCAGCTGCTGCTGCTGCTGCTGCTGTTGCTGCTGCTGCTGTTGCTGCTGCTGCATGTGGAGCGGCAGCCTGGGCAGTAGAGGTAGATTCATGTCTTGTATTAACTTGTTCCGTAGAGGAAGTATTACTTTTAACGTTGCTACAACTGGCACCAGATGACGTGCAGCAGGCCTCTCTCAGACCTCTCTCCCCAGAGGTAGATCTCTGTCTCCTATTCATTTGTTCCATAGAAGTAAGCTTTCCTCCATTCCCTTCTTCGAAAGAGGTAACCTGTCCTCTTTTTATTGTCTCAAGCGAGGTAGATGTTCCTCTATTTAATTCTTCAAAAAAGGCAGACTGTCCTGTATCTGTTTGCTCAAAACAGGTAGACTGTCCTCTTTTTATTGGTTCAAAAAAGTTAGAATCGTTATGGCCAATGTCTTCAGGGCCTAATGCCGCCCCTAGCTGTCCTCTCTGCAGTTCGTCTATTCTTTTTCCTGCTGTACTCGACAGTGCCTCCCCTATATTTCCTGTGAACTGAGATAGTGCAGCTGCATGAATCTCCGCAGTTCCTACATCTAAGCCCTTCTCTTTCCTCTCGGATAAAATGTGTGAGGCAGCTGCGTGCTTCACTGCTTCAGCTGCTGATGTACTCAGCAACGCTGACACTGCTGCCTTACTCTGCAGTCCTGCAGCAGCTACAGTTGCTGCGACTTCTCCTGATAGGCAGAGCGGTCTTTCACGTGATGAGGCTCTTAATAGGGAAAGGCCCGCTGTCTCTGTTGCGGTCATCGGTGTCTCCGCCTCCTCCTCCTCCTCCTCTGTTGCCTGCTGCATCCCTCTGGCAAGCTGTGTAGCTGCTGCTGCCTCTGGTGCTCCTGCCGCTGCTGGTGCTGCTGCTGCTGCTGGTGCTGCTGCTGCTGCTGGTGCTACTGTAGCGGCGATAGTTTGAGGTCTGCAGCCTGCAGCCGCACCATCATGCCTCGGTTCTTCGGCAACATGTTCTGCCGCCTCCCCATCTGCCTCGCCTAATAATACGCGTGCTTCAGTAGTGTTCCTCGACCAGGAAAGCATTGTGACTTCATCATTATCGTCTTCTATTTCCCTCTCTCTCTCAGCACTCTCTGCAGCAGCAGCAGCAGCAGCAGAACTAGGTCTTGTAGCTGTCCCCTCTGCAACATAGTTGACGGTGCCTGCTGCTGCAGGAGAAGCAACGAGGTCAGCAGCGCTGCTGCTGGATTTCTGACTGCGCATATATATAACTGGATTCTTTGTATAGGCGGTAGAGCAAGTATAGCCTGAGTCCTCAGGAAAGACCCCTTCTTTTCCCATATTCTCCACCTCCGCCAGTGAACGCGGCATATCACATATTTCACAACATTGTGAGCAATTCTCTTTCATTGTGAGTTGGAGAGGTAGATCTCTCCGCCGTGTCGCTGTGCAGCTTTTCTTTCTTTTCTGTGTTGCTTGGCTTGACGCGGCCTCACTGTCTCTATGAACCGTGGCTGCTGCTTCGTTTGAATTTCCTGTATCTGGAGGTGTAATTCTTGCTGCTCGTTCGCGAGGTCTAGCAGCAGCAGGAGCTGTCCCCCCCGCTACAGCTGCTGCTTCTCGCTCTGCCCTCACAGGCCCTACCGACGTAATAAAAAAAGGAGGACCTCCACCTACATCTCCAGCAGCAGATAAAGGGGAGATGCCTGCACTTACATCTCCAGCAGCAGATACAGGAGGAATGTCTGCACTTCTTGATCTGCTGTAAATAGGTGGGAGATCGGTGGGTCGATAGGGCGTGCTACACACAGCACCAAAGACGCCCCCATTATTTACAAACTGAACTGTCATGCTGTGGTGTGTCTCTTCACCACCTTTCAAGCGTCTGCAGTCATCACTACGCAGTTGCTGCCGGGCGGAGCGAAGAAACGTTTCAGCAGATCTTCCTCGGTGATTGCAACGCCGACTACATCCGCTGCGGCTTCTTCTTGTGTGCATGCTGAGGCTGCTGCAGCTGCTGCTGCTGCTGCTGCAACTGCTGCTGCTGCTGCAGCTGCTGCTGCAACTGCTGCTGCTGCTGCAACTGCCACTGCAACTGCTGCTGCTGATGCTGCTGCTGCTCCTATCATTGGATGCGCCGCCACTAGGGACACTGCTACTACTACTGCTGCTGCTGCTGCTGTCGGTACTTCCGCTGCTGCTAGCAGCCGCCACACTTCCCCCTGAGCGAGAAGTCTGTTCCTCAGAGGCAGTCGACGGTAATAGTGCCCGTCTTTGTGCAGCCATAGCCTCCTCAGGCGTAGTCAGCATGCTGTTAGGGCCAGCAGAAAAACTGATCCCCTGCAGACGCAGCAGCTGGCACAGGTACAAAGCAAACGAATACATGGGCAACTCCAGTAGCAGACCTCGACTAACATGCGAGAGAATCACATAGCCATAGGCCATGATAAGTGCAACAAACCACATCTCTCCTCTTCTTGTTTCACCTCCATCCTCCCTGTCATCTCCTTCCTGTCTGTCATCATCCTCATCATCTGCTTCCTCTGCGGATTCCCCCCTCTGACCCGCTATTCCGCCTCTACCAGCTGCCGCTGTCCCACTGACGTCTTCGCCTCTATGAAGCTGACCTTCTAATGTTCTTGCCGCCGCCTCTGCTGCATGTCTAGCCTCTCTAAAATCAGCTGCCTGTCTCCCGTCTTCAAATGGCTTTCTCCCTTCTGCACACCCTTCATGACTACAAATACGTCTACGCGGGCCTGCTGCATCATATGTTCCTCGTATGTCTGCGTTTCCAGTCATTTGCCGGTGCAGGCCTCCTGCAGGCGCCGCTGCAGCATCATCAGCAGACGGAAGAGTTGCACAGGAATCACCTGCGCAACTGACGGGGATAGTCTGCTTCCCCCCGCAGACAATTTGTTCGTCTGCCGCTGCATTGTGGGGTATATGATCGGTCATCGCCGTAGCTAAAGCTCGTGGATCTTCACACATCGATGCCGCGTCGGGCCAAGCTGAAGCTGTTGCTGCAGCAGTTCCCCCGCGTTCTGAATCTCCCAGTCCTGCATCAATGACGGGGCGCGCTGCTGCTGCTCCTGCTGTGGCTGCTGCTGCTGCTGCTGCAGTGGTAGTAGGAGCCGCTCTGTCCTCTGCTGCAGGACAAGCACGTGCAGCACCTGTACTTCTTGGCTCCGCTCCTAGTGCCTTAGAGACAACGCGTGCGTCTGTCCGCTCGCCTATACATCTTTCCAGCGGATGGCCGTGAGATATGCCTCTTCCATCGGAGGGACCGGCATCAGGATAGGTAGCTTGTTTACTGCTGCTTCTGTCGCGTATGCTGCTGCTGCTTCCCTTGCTGCGGACGCCTGCACTGATAGCGCTGCTGGGCTGCTGCTGACCCTGGTCGCGACCGTCCTGCGTACTTTGCTGTTGGCTTCTTTGGCCTCCGCCTTCTGGAGACCCCTCAAGATGAGCGAAGCTGGAGACGTCGTAAACGAGACGAGTTTCAGCATGACGGGGATGTAGAAGAGAAGCACGAGAAGCACCAGGAGCAGCGTGAAAGTGATGCCTTCCCTGCGGCACCGAAGACAAAAGAGCTGCTCTCTGCAACTCCCACGCGGAGTGGGTACCGGAGACTACTGCAGCCGATTCAGCAAGACTAGGTGAAGGGCATGTAACTGCTGATGTGCTGCTGGCTGTTGGCGCGGAATAGCCACCCCACTGTCTAGCATTGCAGCTCCAGGAGGTGACTCCGGTGGCATAGAGAGAAGAGAAACCAACAGTGCGAGGAGGACGTACACAAAGGCCGGGAGAAGACATGCAGCAAGGTGAAAGATAACTTCCGTAAGGCGTTCGAAGAAAAGAAGTACATAGAGCAGCAACGACACGTAATTCGCAAGTGTTAGCCATGCAGGAACAAACACACGCTCTCCTGCACAGGCCCAGCACGTGGCCCCTGCTGACAGCAAAGCAGCAGCAGCACGGCGACAAGAGTCCACAAGAAACGGTGTCTGCTTCATTTTGTTGTTCCGCTTTCTCTCTACCGTCCCCGTAAAAAACGAAAACAAAAGGAATGACTGCCCAGCATAAGGAAGCCGCGAAATTTCAAAAAACAACAGTCCTACAACTACAGCAATAACATTTGCCTATAGACAGACATAAGCTATATCGGGTGCTACTAGTGCAGCCGCTACTCGCGCATCGTGTAATATACATATGCCCCATGAACCAGCCACAAATATATATATATATATATATATATATATATATATATATATATATACATATGTGTATGTACATATGCTCCCCATACCAGCCACATACATACATACATATATATATATATATATATATATATATATATATATAAACGTGTATGTAGGTGCCTATGTATATATATCTGCAACAGATGGCTGGCATACATATATGTTTAGTGACTCCTACCTTGGTGTTGTATGCGGCAGAGGCGTCCACTGCAGCAGCCGCCGTCGAAATCTGGGAATAATCTCACTTTACCGATCCATGTGATTCTACTCTGCGCACCAGCCGCACCACAGTTTGCTGGAAAAGAGGAAAAATACACCGCATCACTACGCCAACAGAGGAAACAAACGGGCAAGAAATGCTACTCGCCAGACGATACATAGAAGACAAACAGACGTACTCCTCACATGCTTAATTAGATACAGATACGTCGTAGCTTCATGAATAGCAGCACCAGCTACGAATTGACTACAATGCGAAGTTCATGGCAGCAGCTACCCAGAAACACTAGTGCCGTCAGGCACCCCTGCTGCGCATATTCCCTTTGTAAGGGAAGGTCTCCCGTCCACTCGCCTCCTCCCTGCGGATGCTGCTACTACGGCAGGCTCGGGCGCCGCGGGACGAAGGGGGAAGCTTCCAACATGTGGCACTCCAGATCTATGCTGGTAACAGACGTGGCAGCTGTTGCTACTGCGGCTACCTCCCCAGGCTTATTCTAACAAGCTTCACAAGATACAAGCGTACTCTGTATTCCCGGAGAGAGCCAAGACGAAAAACTTGCTCCATCGGCTCTCAACAAAATCATGCAAGAGTTACTGGCGAGGAAAAGAACGACGAGGGGCGCCTCGCGCAAAAACAGCAATCCCATTTGTGACAGCGTACGGCAGTTTGATCATTACCTGCTGCAGCGAACTTCGAATCTGCAGCTCTCTCATTGAGGGAGTTTTTCACAACTCGACCAAACGCAATACGGCTGCTGAAAGTGTTTCTGACAAATTGACCTCTGTACAAGCGCAGTACCGCTGCTGCTTGCGCGTGCTCATGTTGGCGGCATAGCAGACCGGTAGCCACAACAACTTGCTGGAAGCCTTCAGACAAAAACTGTTGACGCCAGACCCTTCTTGAGTCTGTTGGTTTGTAAGACATCAGCCCCCTGCGCGCTGGCAAGGTTGCTGAACACGCTGACATATGCTTCACGAGGCTTTGACGCATTCATCATCGTACGCTCCGGGCCAGCGTGGCTTTCCCTCGAATACATACACCTGCATAAGAGACGCGTGCACTCTGCTGCTCCTGCTTGACGAAGCGGTCGCCCGGGAGGTCTTGCATGCTCAAAAGTGAACATTTGGTACACTCGAAAAACTCAATAGACAACTGCTCTGCGCCGCGCGCCTAATCATTCCGATAAAACTTACAGGCACGGCTGTCAACGAGCGGTGAACGATGCGAAACGCGAAACGCGAGGCTCTCTTCGGTGCAGCGACACCGCAAAGACTTCCGCTCCCCCCCAGTGGAGAAGACCGTGGGTCTTGAGTTGGCGGTGGAACTGCGGAGGCGTGAATGGCCTTTAAAACAGAAAACACGGTGTAAAAATTCTTTGGCCAAATGGCTACGTATTTTCACTACGGGTGAAAGTGCAAAAGAAAAACACGGCACCAGCCGGGGCGGCCTCCTTAGGATACCTAGACTCCACCACGGCTCGCAGCGCAGGGAAAAGTGCCGGCAGACGTCCCCTTATGAAATCCAGCATGCGCTTCTTCGTGCTTCGTAGAGCATGCGCGACGAAAGAACAGGTGGTCTTCAGAGCGATTCCGTCGGGCTGGCGATATGCAGGCGATTTGCTGGCTGACATAGAAAAAGATTAGCGTCAGCGAAGGGACAGCCGCGTGCCACCCAGGCGGACTACTCCCTGCGGGGCCGGCGATTCTCCATTCGGCTTTCTTCTTGCCAGCCGGCGGCGCGTACCAGCGGAAGAGGAGACAGAGCAAGTGAAAATGGGAAGGGAGAACAAAGAGGGACTTCTTTCGCTAGGAATCAGGACTCCTGCAGCTCGGCTTCTTTTTCGCACACCTGCGCGGCGAGCTCGCGCCCAGCACCGCGCTTGCACATGGCCTCACAGTAGTCCTAGCCGCGGTAGTGGCAACGGGGTAAAAGTCCAGGGCCCACGCTCGCGAAAGCGAAATGTCGTCTCCGGTAGTCTGACACACGACCTTGGCGGAGACTAGCCGCTGGTTTACTGGCGTACAAAGTCGCGAAGAAGAAGAGGCCACACGAGCACGCCTACGACGGCAGAGGCGCAGCAGCTCGACAGCCGCCCTTCCCCGTTGGGTGGGAGTCGTAAGCGGCATCCAAATAGCATTACTGTCATGCTTGAGCTGGAAACGTGCATGACAGTGGGCCCGGCCACCGCCAGAGCCAGTGGACGGCTAGTCCGCTTCTCTGTACGTCACTGTACCTATGCGTGAGGCAGTTCACTGCACCGGCGGCCACCCAGCGTCCAAAATCCGCTTCAGACGCACACACAGATTTCCTGCTCCACGGTGTCTGGGACCACTTCTGATGAAAGGAAGAAGATATATATATATACGTATATATACATACATATATGTATACAGTAGCTACCGCTAGTCCGCTCCTTTGTGAGTCACTGTATCTGTACGTGAGGCAGTTCCCTGCACGGGCGGCCACGTAGCGTCCGAGCTCCGCTTCAGGCGCACACATCGATATCCTGCTGCACGGTGTCTGGGACTACTCCTGATTGATCTACACGCGAGAACCGTCCCACCGTAAGACTCTGACGGACGAACACGGCGTGACTGGATTAGGGCCACGCTGACATCCGCGCGCTGCCTATGCCGTCAGCCGCAGCCTACTGCTCGACAACAGGGTGGTCGCCCACGGCGTGCGATGTTCGTAGGCGGAATGTTGCAGCATCCCGATTGCTGCGGGAGTCATTATCTTTTCATATTAAGGAGACATGAGCATTACCGTAGTCGTCCTTCCATAGCGGTAGGGCAATTCCGGGACAGTATTCGCCAGATGATGTTCGATGCACTTAAGCGCCCACACGTAATTTTCAAGCAGAGAGCGGAAAGAGCCATCTCGGGCCACGCTCTGCGATGATGGTTGATGCTCTCACCGCACGCGCATAGTGCCGCTCTGTGTATCGGTCAATATTTTATGAGAGCGAGGACGAACGTGGAAGAACTCGGACTCGACGCCCCAGAGAAAACGGCTATCAGTCGAACTCAGCTGGTGGCGGCCGCTTACGCCGAAGCTCTCGAAGCGTATGCGCGTCGCGTCCACTTCGACAGCTCACCGGACTTGCTCCCCACCAACGCAGAACACGCCTCTGTTCAACTGATGTGCGATTCACCTACGGCGAATACCGTGCAGTGTATGCAGGTAGGCTCCGATAGTTGTGCTCCGCTGAGTCAAAGCCTTCTCCCTGGTCTCGGCTGGCTCTGCGGCTGTCCGCGTGAAGACATTATAAACAAGGTATCACTCGTCTGCGGATCAGAAAAATATTACGGCTGATGGCTACCCGTGTCTCTACTCGCTGCAGGCGGGTGCTTCAGTACACTCGCAATAACGTCGCAGCGATGTGTGCTTTCGACTCAAGTGTGCAGCTGCATCCTGCATGTGGGGGAAGTGTACGAAAAGTGAAGGGTAGAGAAGTGAGTCGATTAGTAGACAGCAACAGCGTGCACATAAAAGAATGCTTGGTTTGTATCATTTCACGGCAGCAGAGTCACAGGGTTAACGTACACCTTGGCCCCGCGGTGATGTTCAGGTGGGAGATATACAACCGCGTGTCACCCTCTACAGCTTCAAAAGGGGCAAAGCGACAGAATATCGCATACCGACACGTAATCGCTTCCAACGTGGCAGCTGTCACGAACAAGTGAGCGCTCTGTCAGATCTCATAGATATAATGACAGGCGGGCTAGAAACACGGTTTAGGGCTGTCTCATAATCTTTCCCGGGGCTGCGCTCTTCTGTGACCACTTGTACGTGTGCGAGCCACACAATTCAATCGCGCCTTACGAGATATCCGCGCTCCCATTCGCACGCGGCCGTGTTTCCAGTTCGCGTCTGCGCGCGTGCAGCAGAGATTTTGCACACGGGGTCGCATGTCGTAATATCGCATACTGCACTCATTTTCTTACGCGGTTGCGCGCACCGCGCTTTCCCTCTGTGCACAGGGGACGCGTATCTCTCCACACACCCGGTCTCGTACCAGATCCCTCGGCACAGACGTACCCTCTACGAAATCGCCCATCTTACATCATCGCCCGCTGTACCGGTTCATCCTCTTGTAGCGGCGCACACCAAGTCCCCCCCGGCGAAGCTGCAGAATTCCAGAACCTCCCATGCAGTTGTGACCAGGACTCGGCGCGTCTATGAAACAGGAGACCGCAGCGCCTAGCTCCCTCCATATTTCCCTCTGGCTAGCAGAAACGCGTGTGTGCTGGCAACAGCGCTGTACAGGACGGCAGCACTCGTGGACAGGAGGAAGCTGTCGCTCGATTCGTGAGACGTCGTACATAAGAGGAAACAGCAGCGCGTTACGCAGCAACAGCTGCAAGCCTGAACTCGCGGAAGAAGAGCGTGGCGCATTCCCGGCCGCGCAGCGTGTGTGTACCGCAGATACGTCTCACTGGAAATGGGATTGTGACGCAGGAGAAAAGGGGACCGCGGGCTATACTATGCTAATGGCGTCTCACTATGTTTTTTGTTCTCTCAGATTATGATGGTGAGGTTGCAGCCAGTGGGAGCCGCCCGGATGCGCTGCAGCCCATGTTCTTCGAATGCACTTGCCCTCGCGTCCGCCTTTACTGTAGTGCCCTGTCCGCCGCCCCATTCGAAGGGACTTAGCGTAAGCAGGCGCCCCCCTGGATTCCCCTTGGCCGTCTGAGGACTCTCAGTAATCTCAAACGGCACACCACCTACTAGAGCTCTGCCCGCGTACTCATTCGACTCGTTCCAACAGGATTACACCGTGCGCCGAAACATAGGGTCTGAGCCTTCGTGAGAAAGTTTTGAGAGGAGGCTGCACGCAGCTGCGTCTCTCTCACTGTACACATATGTATATATATATATATTACATACCTATATATATACACAAATATGCATATCTCTACGGCATAAGAGTTTCAAAAGCGTGATACTTGCAGTAAGGCACGGCTGTGGAGAAGCCTTCTCGGTGTGGCGCGTCTGGGAAGGGGAATGCTCCTGACTCCCATCACTGCACGGTGCACTGTAGCGGGCGAGGAAGTGTCTAACGCTGCTTTCATGCTGAGCACAGAAACCTACACGGAATTTCGGTGGAAGAGCCTCTGCGGGCATGTACGCGGTGCGTGAGGATGCGCAGTAAAACCTTACGAGTAGTAAGTGATATGGAAACCCTGCGTCGGTGGCGGCAACGTAATCAGCAACAGTCCTCCCCACTGAACTAGTGCGCCGCGACTCGTGATTGTGCCGTCTGTGGAACAGTACGTCTGTGCGCACGCCGGCGCGTCAACTGTCTGAAGCGCGAAGGTGCTAGAGGGCATCAGCAACGCGTGTGCTGAAGTAAGAACTCACGAATTACGGGGGGCCTCTATAACGGCATTTGAACAGATTTTTTCTGTGCCGGCCTGAAAGGCCGAGTCTACATATCTCGGGCAGCTTGCTCCTTCGAATTGGCCTGGATATTTTTTGGTGGGCAAGGAACGGAAGAGCAGAAGCGAACCGCTGCACGCCTAGGAAGAGTCATGGCGCCCTCAGGCAACAGAGAAGTACGCGCTGCGTCCCCACCACCTTATTCGAGGGCTCACGAAAGTATGTACGCGATCCATTGCGTCGTCGCTGGAGGCCATGACGCGTATCCTCCTTTCTCAAGTCACAAAATATATACGCTACTTCACCTCCAACTCATTCGAAGACAGCTGGGAGGGTGTACGTGAACCGCCGCAAGCCATTCCTTTACCAGGTGACAGAAGCACGTACTCTACTTCCCCAGCGCCTTGTTTGAGAGTTTACCTCAAGCTTCACGGCGCCAGTCGTGCACTACCGAGAAGGAAGGTCCATCTTGCATAATTTGTAGCGCCCTGTGCGTGGAGGGCGGGGAAGGTAAAGAACGTAAAGCACATAGAGGGACACGCTACTTAAAGAGGAGTTGCGGCGTGCGCAAGAAGTCTCGCGAAAAGGTGTTAAGATGCAAAGCTAGTAGCCGACGGTGGGGGAGATATACTAAAAACTAAAGAGATACGCGAGACTTTGCTGCACGTGTGCAGCGGACCACTATATCTCCGGTGAGGAAAAGCCACGTTGCTTCTCCGCCTCCTTATCGGATTGTGCGCCATCGGCGAGGCGCGGTATGCTATATGCAGCGCTGTGTGCGGAAGGGAAGAAAGAACACTCAGACGAATACGGGGACCGCGAGCGGCGATAGCTTGGCTGAGAGCAGCGACTTCTCGAAAACGTGAAAGGGAGCGGAAACAGACGCACAAAGGCAGCAGGAGAACGGAGATCGAGACTAACAACCCGAGTAGCCTGTTCTACTGCGTGGGTGCATGCGGCAGTCCGCGGGGACAGACACTGCAGGCACGGCCGTCTCGCATAGTGGATCGATTCATGGATGAACACATTAGTACTAGTTTTGTAATACTGCGTCAGCCTGCTCCGCGGGCCATCTATCGCTACGATCTTCTTGTCTATGCGTATGACGTCGTCGTTGCCTGTTGTGGTTCATCGCGGCTTATTAGCCGGTTTCCGTGACGGCTGTCGACAGCCGGCAAGCAGAACGCACGAGTCAAGCTGCCCTCAGTCTTTCTGCGGTCCTAGCGTGGCGCCCTCGCACAGGCCACATGCGTCCTTGTCGGTGATCAGATCCGCAAAGCAGAGGATCCCTTGCTGTTGTGAGCTTTATCTCTTCAGTCCCAGAGCATTGGTCACCGCGGTTTACCCGCGCCAGTCCGTTTTCGGCCACACTCAACGCGTCTCTCCCCTATGCCTAAAATTCGGCGCTCCCGGGTAAAGCTTCATGATCTGGCCCCCGGGCCTGCCCGAGGAGGCCTGGCGCCTTGGTCTTCCGGCCGCCTTCATGCCTTGACAACTGGTAATGCAGACGGCGGCGGCGGCGACGGCACAACTGACGATGCGAGCGAGGGCAGCATTGTGAGCAGTTTTCGAGACCGTCCTAGAGACAACAGCATTTCAGGCGCTTACACACCCGGTAGCAAGGAGGCTCTTGCTACATCCGCTTGGGCTCTAGGCGGTCATTCCCGGAGGACCACCGATGATGTGACTAATTCGATGAAGCTCTTGTCGCGCGGCCAGCGGCGAAGAGCAGAGAAACGGGACGCGTGGTTGCGGAAGTTTGATTTCCCGAAGTATGCCCAGCAACTGCGAGAAGAGCAACGGCGACAAGAACTGAAAGATTCACCACAGGAAAGCCCACTTGCCACATTTGCACCAGCTCTGCGGCAACAATTAAATGACGCGGACGTGTGCCACAGCACAGAAGCTGAGGTCCTTGCGGGTGGCCGCGCCACTGCGGGCAACGGGAGAAAACGAGTAACGCGGAAGTACATTCAGCGACTCGCTGAAAAGGAAGTAGCGCAATATAGAGCGGTGGTGGCGTTTTCAGCGTTTCGCGCCAGCCCGCTTGCTGTACTGAAGGAACACCTAAAGAACACTATAAGCATGCAACAGAAAACGAAGGAAAATCCGTAAATCACACATTATCAGCCCTGTCCTGCTTTTCCGGCGGGTCCGCTCAATGCTTCCTCTTAACCTTCCGCTGTGCGTAGAACGTTTGTATTTTTACCAAGCACGCAGCCCTCGGCGTGGAGGATAATGCTCACCGGGCCCAACGGGCCGCTCCTGCACAGATCGCACTCGAGGCAACGCCACAAGGATGAGGCCCTTGATCGGTACCTCGTGAGGCTACATCGTCGTCGTCGTGGCGAGGGGTTGCCCGCCTTGGAAGGCTCCCGATGCATATCAAAGGTCGTGGTGCGCTTCTCGAAACCGCACAATGCTAAAGAAGTGCTGTATAACGCAGGCTTTTCCTGCCACTGACGCTCAAGGGTTCACATAGCGCCTTTGCGCTTTTTGGACAATAAATCTTCCCCAGACACGGGGGGGTCAAGCTCCCTGGCCTTTTCCGGTACGTATGTTGTGCCAGCCGAGGTATCCATGCGTCGGGCAGCTGCGTGGAACCACTGGCAGACTAGACTGATAACGCTCTGACCTATGCACGATACCGCAGTTTGGGCGGCTCTCTTCGTGCTTGGCTCGAGGCGGCCTGTATTCACCCCGGACGTCTCCAGGTCAAAGCGCTCGGAAGCGCACACATATACATACATTGGCAGAGAATTATGAGTGTATCCTACGGCCGTGGCAGCCACCAGAAGAGGTGCAACCGGTGCGCATACATCAGCGGACGTAGAAGTAGTAATTTCCAGGAGAGAGAAGATTCGGAGCGCACTAGCAGCTAAGTTGCGTGCTCCCCTGTATGGGCCGAACTGCCTGCACTCGGACACGATGAAGCCCAGAGCGTATGCTCGCCGCCAGCTATTTGGGGGGGCGCTGGTGTTTATTCATACGGCCTTGTGCATTTTCTCGTGAAACGGCAGACATCTAGGACCGTCCCCGCAGGGCGCATACAGTGGTGGGGCGCCTGGCGATCGGCAACTACCGCATGCTAGGGCGGTCTTGCGTGCAAGGTGTGTGTCCTCGGTGTGCCGGTTGCTCGAGTATGTGCGTTGTGAAAGCAGATGTTTTTCGGAAGCATATTCGTTGTGTCAGCGCTTCTAAGGATAGAACTGAGAGGCGGCTGCGGGAAAGCGGCCCGCCGTGTACTGTGAAAAACTCAATCGTGCTCTCAGAGCGCGGGGGGACGTAGTCGCCTTTCTTTGTAACGAATTATGTAGGCGGGGCAGAGGTTACCGATGAGAGATTCCACATCTACGTAGGTGCCGTACAACTCCGCAGCGAAGCGTATGCGCCGCTGCGTATTCGGGATCCGCGTCCGTGTGCTAAGCTGAAGTATCTGCGTATTTATACGGATTGTACGCTCCGTGCGGCTCTTGGTATCCCGTCCTTTGAGCGTGGGCCGAGCGCAGAGCGCTTAGCGGGTGAAGAGGATATTTGGCCCTCGTCAGTACACCCAAATGTGCGCAGGAAACATGGCTGTGCATGTTGCGGTCTAACGCCACCTTGCGCAGTGTATCGACCCTGGCTGCAATAAGATTGAGGGGCGAGCTCTCTCTATTCCTCTGAGTGTACACTTCTTGTGACCCGCTCGAACAGATTTTCAGAAGAACCTGAAGAGCGAAGGGCGCCTCCCGCCCGCTTACATATGCGTGGCCGAAAGGAACCTGCGTAATCTGCCGTATAGTCTTGTCTTACGTGCATCATCAGCTGTTACCGTGGGTGCGGGTTTCTGGCGGCGACGCACTCCTGCACTTTGTGAGGCTTCCTCGGAGCACAGGTCACAGGTCATGCATGAAATGCAGTGAGGATCACCTACATCATCATGTTGACTTGCCAAGGGTTCACGTTCCCAACGGCGGGGCGTCAAAGCGTGCGTGCAGCTTTGCGGAGAACTCTATTGCGTTGTGTACAGCCTGCATAAGTGCAGGGGCCTGCAGTCAAGCGCACGGCCCCGGGAGCTGCAGGCGCTCTGGCACGCGAAGACGCCAGTCTGTTACCGCACACGTATACGGGAGGGGTGTTGCGAGTTACCTTCGGCAAAAAAGTCACGAGCGAGGTGACACGCACACATCTCCCAGTCGGGAATTTTTTCGAGTCACCACGAAGGCCGTTCACAGTCCGTCTGCTTCGTATCCTCTCACTCGTATACAAGGAGCACAGCGAATGTCCCACCGGCGAGTGGCGGCAGTGTCAAGTGGGCTAGGGCGTGTCGGTCTGGGCCGACCGTATGCCGCTGTGGCCCCCTCCCAATGCTGAGCAGACAGCTCAGTGTGTCTTACTGGCCCCTTATACATGAGCGCACTGCGCTTGCAGTGCCACAAACACACAACCGCGTTACGTTAGGCTATAAATCATGCTGGAGACGTCTGGGCAAGCGAACGATAGAGAGACTGGCACGCTCATACCCGAGAACACGCACAGCGAGGCCATACCGTCGTGCAAGAAGTGGTGCGTGAAACAGACCAGTTGAGAGCAGTTTACGAGCGTGTTCTTTCTGTTGCGGAGCACGTCCCCGGTGGTAGGCAATGAGGTCCCCGACTAACAGCCGCTCCTCTACTTCAACACCGCACAGCGGCTGTGGAGGCAAGTACCGCCTTGACTGAGTGACGCTCTACCAGAGACGTCCCGACTTTTCTGTTCTGCCCGCCCGTAGTTGGGCGCGGACGCGGACGAATCGCGCGAGAACACTACCCTGCGAGCCGGGCCCCTGTACAAAATAGGGCCATGCCCACTGATTGCTGATACTGCAGCCAGATGAGGGGAACCCTGCTTTGTAGAATCCTCACGTAAGTAGCACATGTATATATTTACTTTCTGACCTTGGACTGCGATGACGCGCTGGGGCATCATTACCAAAAACCGCTAGATTTGTCCTCTGCGAAGGACCCCGACCGTCCTCCCATACTGTACGCAGCTCGGTTCACCAAACAATCTGGGGGTGTGTGGTCTTCCCGCGTGCAGTGTGGCAGACGCACCCTTGCGCCAGGTGGAGCTGCATGCTTGCACTCGGACTTTGGGGCTATCCACGGTACTGTCAATAAACTTTTTTGCCGTAGAGCGCACAGCAGCTCATTCCGGCACTGTGGGTGCTGCCAAACACGTTTGCCGGCCATGCTACTTTTGGCCCTGTGCGCTACGCGATAGCGTGATGACTTACGAGACGGAGCACTGGAAGGCAGTCTGGCCGCCACTGTGTGCGTCACCGTGGTCGTCTTCTTCCCCCCTAGTGTAGTGTGCTGTAGAAAGGTGGTTTTCGAGTAACGGAGAAGCTCCCTTCATATCAGCACGCAAGCTTTATGTACTCGCTGCGAGGAGGAGCGAAGGAACAATCGACTGAGGCAGCTGACCAGCCGTTTGCACGTGGGCTCTCGACGGACTACAGACGCTTTGTACAATGCTCACGAGTTTCGTCGTCCCGCTGTGCGCGTCTGACAGCCACTCTTCGGCACCCAGACTACATATTCCCGCGACGCGCGCACGTATGTGCGTGCAGACGGGGAGACACTGGGAGCGGGGCCCTTGGAAGCATCTGGAGTTTTTTACGTCGCCACAGCGTGCAGGATTACCCTGTACGGTTCATATGCTCTGCTCACAAAACTCAAGGACGGCAGTAGCATGCTCGTTCCAAAAAGGATCAAATCTGCGTCGACTCAGTATAACAGAAGGGTGTGCCCAACGGCATGAATCCGCGCAGCGATACGCTAGAAAACCGTAAGTGTGCAAGCGCGTCCTCAGCGCATAAGGAACGCCGTACGCTACGAGCCTGGAATGATCCTCCTCACAGCTGACACCTCCTGCCCTCTTTTCACAAATGCCGTTATAGAGCAGATTCGCAGTAGACACTCACCGCACCAGAATCTCCTGCGCCGAGGAAGTGCTCAGCACGAGGCGGATACACGCTCGACGCAGTAACATGCAGTCCCGCATCCTCTTTTGCAAATCCAGAGGAGGGCGCAGGAAGACACGATCGCAAATCTGCGTTTTAATTCAGAGAGCCAGTAGGGCCATGCCGCTGCATGGGTGTGACGGCCGCTGCTCGATTGACAGAGCCGCCACATTCGGTCTAGCAAGGGGCTCGTAGCCCAGCGCCATCACGCTAACCTTTCTGGCTTCGATCGTGATTGTGCATGAATATGAGATCGCTCGGGGACCCCTCTGCCGGGAAAGGAGCCGCCATGGCTCTCTTCCGCGGCGTCAATTTCAGGGCAGTTTGCCGGTGCGGAGCGTTAGTTTCAGTCATTTTCGGCACACCAAAAATATCTGCTGAGGGAGTTGTGCCCGCTTACCCAGTGGCACGAGCACCTCTCACTGCTAGCAGAAATCAGGATGCTTCGCCGCAGCCGCCAGAACCATGCTTTTCCCCACATCCAGGCGCATCCGCGTATAGGAATCTGCCAAGCAGGCCAGACGAAGCAACAGATAAGAGTCCAGGATACGGAACTGGCAAGAAAGCGCCCGTTGGAACCCACTCAGTCGCAGGAGTGCTTCTTCAAGATAGCAGGCATCCAAAGGGTTTTGGGGATCGCGGGTTTGCCGCCGGAGCTGCAGGGATACGGCTTTTACCCAAATCCAAACGTACCAGCGTACATGATTCGACCAAGTAGACCGGGCGAAGCAAGGGATAAAGGTCGAGGAGACGTAATTGACAGGAACGCGAGCGTAAGAAGCGGCTCAGTCCCAGGAATGCCTCCCTGTGGTAGCAGGGGCCAGGATGTTGACAAGTTCACACGTGCTTCGCCGGACGTGCTGGAACCGCAGTTTCTTCCGCATCTAAACGCGCGAGCGCATGAGAATCTACCGCGCAGGCTAGACGAAGCAACAGATAAGAGTCCAGGAGACGGGACCCGCAGGAGGGCGCCCGTTGGAACGGACTCAGCCGCAGGTGCGCCTCTCCATGACAGCAGGCATCACGATGCTTATGAGTTCACAGGTTTTTGCGCCGGAGCTGCTCGGACCAGACTTTTTCCCACATCCGAGCGCACCAGCGTATAATAATTCACCAACGGGCCTAGGCCGACCAACAGATAAAAGTCACGGCGACAGAACCGACAGGAACGCAACCGTAGGAAGCGGGTCAGTTGCAGGGCTGCTTCTCCGTGGTAGCAGGCATCAGGATGCCTTTCGGTTCGCAAGCCCTTCGCCGAGCTTGCTGAAACCCACAATCGAGCGCAGCAGCGTATAGATACCTACCAAAGAGGCTAGGCCGACCAACAGCTAAAAGCCCTGGAGACGGACATCACAGGAACTCTACCACAGGGAGACGGTTGGTCGCAGAAGTGCCCCTCCATCGTAGCAGGCATCAGGATGCTTACGAGTTCCCCAATTTTTCCCCGCGCGTGCCCGAATTTGAGTTTTTCCCATATCCAGCCGCACCAGCGCACAAGCATCCAGCGGACGGACCTGCCAGGAAGGTGCTGCAGGAATCCGACGTCAGCGCCTTCCACTCCCTTTTTCGGACCTGTCAACGAGTGAGGACGAGGAAAGCGTGCAGGACTGCATCCCGTGCCAGCGGCGCCTGTCAGGAAACGGGGTTGTGCAGCGGTGATGACGCCAGAACATTCAAGAAACTTCGAGGACGGGGACTCCCCCAGGGCCAGGGGGGCGGTCGACCGCGTAGAAGAACCTCGAGCACACCCAGTTACTCGGAAGCTTCGCTTATAGGGGCTGCCTGCCAACGCCGATCCCTCGTTGTTGCCCGGCGGCCTGGCGCCCGTACACCACGCTTCTGAGGCGGCGAGAGACCTTGACACGGCAGCGCGTCGCTCACGGCGGCCAGAGCAGGCGCGGCGCTGCGGTATCTATACGCTTAGCCGGAGAGGACAGCCGCCCCCTCACAAAATCTCCAGCAACACGACACAAATCGAGGTGGAAGACTCAGGCGGGCCCGCAGCCGCTCACGGCGTGCAAATCAAGCTCGAATACACTTCAGTTCATCCGCAGGCGGGGGGCGGATACTGGTCGCCGGCAGCTGCAGGTCGGCTTCAGACAACTCCCACCACGGGTCACAATGGCACCCAGCCCCTGCCAGGAAGCACTTTCTCTGAGGTCGCGCGCTCAACATGCCCTCCCCTTACCGGGTCTCCCAACAGAAGTCAAGTAAGTAGTAGTAGACAGCAGGACTGCAGCTCTGAAACCCACATCGTTACCGCTGCTTACACGCCGCTCGCAATTTTGTAGCTCCTTCGATCACATCACAGTTTGTTCGTTTATCCGAAGGAATGGCCCGCAGGATATGTACACCTTCGCGGATAAAATCGTAAGTACGTCAGCCTTTCATAAGACACTATTTCACAGAGCAGAGACCTCCACACTAGAACGCGGCCTGCAACCTTATATTACCCAGACGCTAATCTCGGCAGGCTTGCCGGCGTCCGCCGAGGCCACACTGAAACTAACACGCAGATGCCGTGGGAGCCTTGAGGACAATTCCGAGCTACGTCCCACGGAGGTAGGAATGACGCTGTACGCAAAGAATCACCAAGGCACAATAGCCAAAGACGGGCACACGTTCTCGCACACGCACAGTTATCTTCTTTTGTAAACTACTTGTGAAGACCGGATTTCTGCCGAAAGACACAAAGCTTCTCGAGCGTAATATCTCAAGCGCACGCATGAACCGCCCACCGTAGCAGTTTTCCGAAGACAGCACACGCTCACCCCGAACACCACGATAATGCTCGACCGCTGAGAAATTCTTTCCTGCGTAGGGACTGGGCACCACTGAAGACAAAGACTTCCAAAAGCGCGCACATCTCCCGTCGCGTCGACGTCCCCCCAGACCAGGAGTTGTTAGACGCACTCGGCTACACCGCGAGAGATGCAACACATTTTTCAGGCTACAAAAACAATGAGGAGCGGCGTCCAAGCGAACTGTTCTTCACGGGGCGGGGCGAAATTCCTCCCGGCGTGTCCGATGAAAACACTGAAGCCTTCAAAGGTTCCTCGCGGAATGCTGAAAGACGCATCTTCGTGTTTCCAGGAGAATATCCGTCTCAAAGCGGCATAGTAGACCGTTCCTCCCTGCCACCGTTTTCGCCCTCGCTCGGAAGCACACCTGGACCCATCAGCGCCCCGGCTCAGGTCCAGCCTGCGTGGTTTGAAGTGTCTAGAACCTTCCCGTTGCCTGCTAGTAGACGCTTTTTCACTCCTCCGCGCAAAAACGTATTCCATGATAGGACCACAGACTCTCATTTGTCGTGGCCACTGGTCTGCCCCGCGTTTCGCAGATCCGCCGGGGCCGCTCACAGTCCTATCCCGACTCCGCCCTACTGGGTTTGAAATGCCCACAAACTCCCCCGGGCTTGCCGACAGGCGCTCCTATATGTCTCCACGAGATCCGTTTTACCAGGACGGGGCCCGAAGCCGGTTATATTCTCTGACGCGGTCCAGGAGCCCGGCACCGCTCCCTACCCTGCCTGAAGTCGGTCCATACCCGGTTGAGCCTTCCAGAACCGCGATTCAGGAGAACCCGTTATATTCTTCAGAGCCCAAGGAAGAGATGGTGAGCGTTGAACGTATTTTTTTCGCGCATTCTCCTCAAAGTCCCGGCCCCAGCTTGGGGGCGCTGCCGTATAAGAGCGAACGCTTTGCTGCGGCGTTTCCCAGGACATTCTCCTTCTCCCGCAGCCGCGCCGAGGGCGGGAAGTGCTTTCACCGGGAAGACACCTGGAGCGCACCTAGTGCCATCATCGACCGTTGAGCACGGTATCCCGGAGGTATCTCTCACCAACGTCCCGCCTTGGCCTTGAAGAGCCCCCGTATACAATTCGGGCCAGAAGTCGAGGAGACTTCAATTTAGCCGACAGAACCACTTAGGAGCCCTCGGGTCCCACGCATAAACAGCAAAGAAGAAAGCTTCTCATCTCACAAAGTCACAGGAGCAGCCTCAGAGCGTTCGTGCACCCCGTATTTGTATGCCATACGCTGGTGAGCTGCGGACCTGCAAAGTGAATTTTGGATATTCTGGTGTTTCGTACTGGCAGCTGACTGGCTAGCTGCCGCTGGCTCCTCAAGAAATCGGCGCGAAGCTGGGGAGTCGCCTGGTAGCTGAGAAGCTGCACGCTGCCTTCAGGAGACACCAGCGGACGCGAACGGGAGCTTGGTACCTTCCTGTACAAGAGCCGGGCGCACCGTCGAGCGCGTGACGCCTAAAATCCTGTTGTGTGCGTGCTCGCAAGGATGCTCCGCTCCCTTGGACGACAGCGGGTATGCGGAGCTGGAGACAACAGGATAGTTCGCCACAGTGGTCCGCAAATAGAATACCGACCAGCGGATCGCTTCTGACCATTTTGGCGAAGCACGACGTCAGCCGTGCGGCCCTCTCGTTTCTACGCTTGAAAAATTGGCGACTGGCTGACTCTACGCAGTTGGCCTATTTGGGGTGGAAGGCCTCTTGCATGCTGCTGGACCAACGGTGTTAAAATCCAGCGAGAGCCAACGCAGGCCGGCCACGCACAGAGAAGAAACCTATGAAGGACAAGCCAAGCATGCAGTGTGTCATCTGTCACATGTACAAAGGGAATTTTTGCATGTCAGAGAGCGCAGCCTCGTAGGCCGGAGAAGCTGGGCAACCGTAGCGGAGTGACGCCGTGCTCTCGTACTTTATCGGGGACCGGGTAGAGAGACCGCGTAAATCTGTTTGCACAAGTGCACAAGTATCATTCTAGAGTGGATGCACCGTCGGGAATCCTATGAGAGGAAGGCAGTAGGCGAACGGGGGGGTTATGCGACACTGAAGTTCGGACAGGTTGATCGAACGTCAGTCGCAGCCGCACCCTTCTTCGCCACAGGTATCTGCCGGAGGTAGGGTACAAAGCACGCAAGATTACGGCGACGCACCTCCCACGCAGCGCAGAGAAAGCGTGTGGTACATTGGCTGGAAGCCACTGTTCTCCGAAGACCGTTTCAAGCGTCTACAGAATGAGAAGTGAGATAGTCTGCAGAAGAGTCCTCAGGAAAAAGACGTCCTTGACTGTCCTTCCGTGGGCCACACCTGTGACGGCTCCACTTACGCCCGATATTTGAGGCCATGTTGTACGAACGAGCACACTGATCCTTGTGCGATAGGGTCAATTTCAACGGCGCCCCTAACCGCCGTGTCTCGCGTTGCCGTCCGTGATTGCTTAAAAGCCTCCTGTACATCGTCTGCCGGCGACGTGTCGTCGCCACAACCAAAGAATTTGCCTACAGCATCTTAAATGGAAGCGATGTGGGACTCGAGAAAGCCCATTTCACAAGTCATGCGTTTTCCGTACTACCTGCTTTTGCAGTTTGTAGCACGTTGGTCGCAGTTAGTGTAAGCCGATTGCACCTTGCGGCTGAAGAGTTTGCGTAAGCGCTTTCCGAGCTTCAAAGAAGGCTCTGCACGCTGAGGTCGCCACTCCTTTTAGCCCCTGGTACGTTCCACATTTGTCTGTCCTGTACTTCTAATATGTTGCCTCATTACGGCAAAGTGCGTTACGACCATGCTGCTTGACGCCCGCCGCTTTCGCGCCTTTTCCGTGCCCATCGGAGACCACTCGCTGTACGCACCTCCAGAGGGAACTTCTGACGGGTACGCTCCCTAGAAAGCTTTTCGCAGAGAAGGCGTCTCCCCGCATTGTGTAGCCTTGGGAGGTATGAGTCTCTTCCTCTGCTTTGGCGCTGCGTGGGTGCTGACGGACATCCTAAAAGGACGCTGCTCTTCCTCAGCCGTCTCTCTCGTGTGCAACACCAATACGTTCGCAGAATACGGGGATGCACGCACTAGTTGCGTTGTGTCCGTGGAGTTCATCGTCAGAAACAAGAGAGCAACACGGGAGCAAGAGCCTGTTATATGCGAGTCTTACGATATTCCTGCACGTTAAGCATTCCAGCGAGTGTTGCAAACCGCCTGCTCAGTGTTGCTTCTTTATTATCGACCCTGCGAACGTTGTCGACCACTTACAAAGACTTTACCGCTACGGTGTTCGTACACCACCAGAGGTAAGAGTTACGTTGGGCGCCTCTGTATAACGCAAAGCGGACTGCTACTATAAATCGTGCCCAGCCATCCGTAGGCACAGTGTAGTGGAATGGAGTTTCGCTTCTCCCTTCCCCACGCGGCAAACACCGACCAGTCACACAAACTCACGACCGCGATGTGTGTACGCTACTCAGTGAAGCGCGTATCGTATAACGCTGGGCAGCCCGCAAACATGGACGGTGCTCGGTGATCCGCAGAGGCGGACTGTACCTCAATACACGATAAAACTGCTCTTAGCGTTAACTCCTTCCCGCGTGCGCGCACCATCCAGCGAGCGCGTATCATATGACGCTAGACAGACTGCAAGTAGGAACCGTGCCCGGCATCCGCGGTCACAGAGTGGGTCTAAAAGAGAAAAGCTGTCAGCATTGAGTTCTTCCCGTCTAGGGGGTCGTCGTAGATACGCGGCGTCCCTCTACAAGCTCCGGAGGTAGCGTCCACCATGCGGTACAGCCACCCATTTCTGATCTCCGTGCTGGCGCCCTCCGTATTGTATGACGGTAGACAGACGGCAAGTACGAACGGTGGCACTCATTTGCAGGCGCAGATTGTGTCTTCCTCCTCAGGAAAAATCGCTGTTAGCCTTAAACTCTACCCTTTACGGGGGTCGTCGTAGTTGACGCGGCGTTCCCGTGCAAGCTGCGGAGGTACGTTCACCTTGCAGTGCAGCCATCCATCTCTGATCTCCGTGCTAGACATCCTCCGGATCGTATGACACTATAGACACGCCGAGTGCGGTCCGCGGATGCGCAGGCGCACATTGTGTCTTCATACTCTGGAGAAGCGCTGTTAGCGCTGGACTCTCTGCTCTAGGGGGCTGTCGTTAGTAGCGGGGCATTGCTCTGCAAGCCGCGGAGGTACCGTCCACCTTGACAGTGGAGCCGCCCACCTCGGGTCGCCGTGCTAGCGCCCTCCGCATCATATGACGCTAGACAGACTCTAGGCACGAACGATGGCCGGGCATCCGGAAGTGCAGATCGTGTCTCTATACTTAAGAAAAAGGCGCCGTTAGCGTTGAACTCTCCCCTATAGAGGACTTGTCGTAGATAGCGAGGCGTTGCTCTGCAAGCTGCGGAGATAGCGCTCACGCTGCAGTGTCGCCAACCCGCTCTGATCTCCGTGCTGCCGCCCTCCGTATCATACGACTGTAGACAGCCTGCAAATATGGACGCGCCCGGGCTTCGCAGGCGCAGATTGTGTCTTCATACCAAGGAGAAAGCGCGGTTAGCGTTGAATTCTCCTCTCTAGGGGGGTTGTCGCAAGTAGCGGCGCGTTGCTCTGCAAGCTGCGGTGATTAGAGCTCACACCTGCGGCGTGGCCATAGACCTCTGGTCTCCGTGCTAGCGCCGTGCGTATCATATGACGCTAGAACAGGCTGCAAGTATGAAAGGCGCGCAAGCATCCGCAGGCGCAGATTGTGTCTTCATACCGAGGAGAAAGCGCTGTTAGCGTTGGAATTCTCCCGTCGCGGGGGGTCGTCGTAAGTAGCGTGGCGCTGCTCTGCAAGCTGCGGTGGTAGCGCACACACTGCTGTGTAGCCACTTATATGACAGGCTGCAAGTATGAAAGGCGCGCAAGCATCCGCAGGCGCAAGATTGTGTCTTCATACCGAGGAGAAAGCGCTGTTAGCGTTGAAGTCTCTCGTCTCGGGGGGGTCGTCGTAAGTAGCGTGCGCTGCTCTGCAAGCTGCGGTGGTAGCGCACACACTGCTGTGTAGCCCACTTATATGACAGGCTGCAAGTATGAACGGCGCCCAGGCATCTCCACGCGCAGATTGCGCCTTGAAGAAAAGCCTGTCAGCGTTGGATTCTCCCATATTGGGAGGCCGTCCTGAATGACGCGGCCCTTCTCTGCAAGCCGGGGCGGTGGCAGTCAGCCTGGCAGTGCAGGCCACCCGCCCCCCATCGCCGTGCCAGCTAGCGCCCACCGTGATGACGCAGTGGGAGTGCAACCGCATGGTAGGGCTACCACATCCTCTAAATACATGGCACGACTGCCGCATCGTCTAAGTACGAAGTATTTTGTCGTTGCAGGTCCCTTGGCTGCCTGATTTCTTGTGGGCTACTACTTGAGCCTGTATCCCCGCTTATACAAAAGACAAGCTTCAACAATGTTTCGATATTGCGTGTGGGTCGTCAAAGCGGGTGCGCTTAGAAGAAATCCACAGCCCTCTGCCCGGGTTTCGCGTGTCCATGAGAAGGTCGCGCGAAGCAAACATTCCGTCCCTACTAGTATAACGCTGTTGTATACATACCTATTGATATGATATGAGCATGAATATGGAAGTAGGGGGACAAGTCCCTACGAAGAGGCATGCGCTTTTGCAATGACTAGCCGCCGCTTGCATGCCCTCTGCCGTGCAGCGGCGTGACCGCAGGCGGCGCTGCTCCGACTCCACCCACGTCATAATCATGGCGTAGACTTGATTTTCCCATGATACGGCGGCTCCTCCTTCTCAAAATTCCTGCAGTTTATTCCTCGTATCTATTATTGATCCGCTGGAGAATTCAAGGGGTCGAACTGGTCTTCTTCTCCGCTATCCGGGCTCATAGGCTATACTTGATTTTCGTGATATGGCTGCTTTACCTTCGCGCATTCCCTGTGCGTTCGTCTTTCTCTCGTGTCTGCTTCGCGTTCGTAGGAAAGTTTTCATGGTCAGACTGGCCTCCTCTCGTTCATTTCGCGAGAATCTATTTCAGTGGCGCCGGCGATCTACCAGCGCTAGTGGGGTAATGAAATACTGAGCACTCTTTAGTCAGTGTCTTTAATACCTCATATGTGCGACTTTCCATGCAGCATCTGGCCATTACTGATGGATCACTAATAACTCGATGGATCCTTGTATACTAGGAGAAAAGGCGAATCATGGTATAGTAAATTACTGTGTAGTAAGTGTGTCTGATACTTCACGTGTCTGATACGTGGATCACTAATAACTCGGTGGATTGTTGCATACTACCGGCGAATTGTGAGACAGTATATCACTGTGTGGTCAGTGTGTCTGATACTTCACGCGTCTGAGACCTCACGTGTCTGATACTTCAAGTGTCTGATACTTCATCTGTCTGATGATTCTTGTTTAAAAATTAAGCAGCAGCTGGTAATCACAAATCGATCACTAATAACTCAGTGGAGTGCTCTACTATTGGCATTCATGAATTCTACGTGGATAAGTTCTCCGTAGTCAACGTATTTGTTACTCTTACTGTCTAATACTTCACGTCTAGAGGCTCGCATGCAGCCTCTGGTCATCAAGGTTGATCGATCGTTCATACAATTTGTGGATATCCAAGAGGGTTTCAGTGTGCTTGAAACTTCACATGTTTTATTTTTGACGATCCTGCTGTGTCTGGTCATGAACAATGAATCATTGTCACCTTATGGATCCCTACATACCACTAGAGTTCGTGAGGTATACAACATTGGATCACTGCGTAGCTACTGTGTCTGATACGTATGTGTCTGATTCTTTGACGTTCCTGCTGCCTCTGCTCATGACGAAGGCGTCGCTCGTTTATCCTCCGATCGATTCCTCTTCGCACCCACACTTCACGCGTGAAAAGTGGGCAGCCGTAACAGACAAATACCACATAGCATCGCAGTCACTAGAGACAGCTACTGCGATAAGACGCACAGCTTTCGCTGCTTCTCGCTCTCTGCTTATGCTCTCAGCTTCCCCATTGGAAGGCTCACGGGCCAGGGGAGAGGGGCCCCTTTCTATGCAGGAAGAAAAAAGTGCAGTACACCGTGTATACACGTATGTATATATATATATATATATATACATAGTCGTGTTGAGTATATACGTATATGAACGTATATATATATGTATAACAAAACATATACTTGTTGAATGTATATTTATATCTCTACATGCGCTTAACAAGCAGGTCTAATGGGTGGCCATGGCGGCCTGAATATTCTGCCGCAGAAGCGGTGGAATGTGTACCGCCGCGATAATCGTCTGCGCGTTCGTCGTGACGAGGAGCAGCACCGAGAGCAGCAACAGCAGCGCAGACAGCAGCAGGGGCGCCAGCGCCTGGCCAACATTCTCATCCTATTAAAACGCAAGAAAGCAGAAGCACAGGAGAGGCAGCAGCGGCAGCAGCTTCATACCGATGCTACAGGGGAAGAAGTTGGAACACAAGAGCGGGAAGAGAACCCTTCCAGTTCTTCGTCTTCTGCAGTGCACAGCAGCCACCCATCGGAGAGCAGCCAGCCTGCTAGCAGCAGCACCAGCTCCTCATTATCGGCGGCATGGCTCAGCAGAATGGTGGCCTTGAGCAACAGCTGCAGCAGTTTCAGCAGCCGCAGAAAGGACGATGACGCCTCCTGCCTGCCCTCAAGAAACAGCAGCAGCTGCCACGCTGCAGCCAGTAATAGCTGCAGGCTACCAGGCAGTCATAGCTGCGGTATACGAGTCAGCAATAGCTGGAGTATATCGGCCAGTAATAGTTACAATCTACCAGCTAGTAATAGTTACAATCTACCACCCAGTACTAGCTACAATCTTCCGGCCAGTAGTAGTTACAATCTACCAGCTAGTAATAGTCACAATCTATCGGCTAGTAATAGCTTTGATATATTAGTCAGTAATAGCAGCAGTATACAAGCTTCTTCATCTACAGTTTCTCCACATCGTAACGTCTCTTCTTATCATATATCCTCCTCTAGTAATACCTGTGGAGCCGCATCAAACAATACGAGTAGTTTTCCAGAAGGAGATAGTTATGGTGAATCTGTAGATTCCTTTATGACGGACACCCCCACTGTTGTGCGAGTAAGGCCACTGGTGCCTACGCCTGCTGCCTCTGCAGTTCCCTCTAAAGACAAAGGCTTAAGTGATACGTCTTACCTGTCTCTTCAAGGTTTCTCTTCTCATGGAGGCTTCTACGAAACAATAGAAATAAAGAAATTCTCGTGGTGTAGGTGATGGTGGGGGTGCTGATTATGGTGACGATGATGGAGGTGGTCAGCAGACTGCAGCAAATGCAGCAGCTGCAGAAGAAGGAGAAGATGAAGTAGAAGAAGAAGATAATGCAAGTTGCTGCAACAGGCACAGCAGCAGCATCGGCAGCGCTACAGCAGGAGGAAGAGGAGGAGAATCTGTCAAAACTGGGGGCAGAAGGGATATACAGCACGTAAACTACTCCAGACCAGAAGAGGAGAAACAAGTTAAGAAGCTGGAAATGCCGAGAAAGCACGTGAATTTTCTTCGAAGCAGAAGAAAAGAGATGAACAAACTAGAGATGAGAAGGAAGAAGTATTTAATAAGTGCTGGATATACACCTGGAGCGCAAAGCGAATTTGAAAAGCAAATCAGAGACTCTTTAACACAAGTTCCTTGGTATTACAAGCCTCCCTCCTCCACTTCTTCTTCCTCTTCTGGTGCAGCAGAGAGGCCGTCCTCCTTTTTTTCCTTCTTCGTCCTCTTCTTCTTCTTGTTCTTCTTCTTCTCTTTCTTCGTCTTCCTCTTTTGCTTCTGCGTATCCGTCTTCTGCTGCTCTCGCGCTGCATACGAGAGATATATCTGCTGCAGCAGCTAGTGCAGCAGGCTTCCCTCCTTACGTTTCACAGCACACCCCACACTCTGGTACGTTTCACAGGCATAAAGCAGCGGCAGCAGCAGCAGCAGCAGCAGCATTAAAAGCAGCAGCAGCGCCTCCTCTGAGGTTCGCTGACGATCCAGACCGAAATATAAAGGTGGACCACGAGATAGATGGACTTCACAGAACCAGACATGCGGGAGGCCTGAATCCTGTTGAGGTAGCTCGCGCAGCCACGCTGGCTGCTGATGCTGCTGCTGCTGCTGAGAAAGCTACTGGTGTGAATCCGACGCACCACATGCACATACATATGGTATAAATGAAGAGAAATTGGCTAAAACACAAACATATGATGTAAAAGACGAGAAATTTCCTAATGCGCGGACACATGATTTAAAAGAAGAGAAATTAACCACACAGACAAAGATGTAGATAAGCAGAAATTTTCAACACAAGCATATGATGTAGAAAAAGAGAAAGTTGATGTGCCGCGAGGGGACGATCTGCAGTCGATAACTACTGACAGCGAGACGAGTTCTACGCGAAGAAGTAGCGACGCGAAGAGAAAAAAGAAAGGAAAGGCCGCAAGGAGACGTCGAAGCGAGAAAGCCGAAAGAAAAAGAAAGCAAAACGAATACGAAAAAGAAAGAGAGAAATATGCGACGAAAAATGGGTCGCAGGACAAGGATGATGATGACGATGTGGAATGTCTACAGGTTATGTTGCTTGTGGAGGACGAAGAGGGAAAATAATGATAATTCACGAGTTTTCATGGAAAAGAAGACGGATACGAAAAGATGAAGAAGCGATGGAAAAAGATGACACACAAGGAGAAATGATGAATTGAGATGTATACCGCTTATGCTGCCTGCAGGAATTTTATGTACACATATATATATATATAATATATATATATATATATATATATATACACGTGTATATATATGGCGGACGCGAGAAAACCATGCTGCATGAGAGTTTCTACAACTTGCAGAAAAAAACGGAAGAATAAAGAAGCGGTGAAAACGGGTCACACAATTGGAGATGGTGATGTGAAATGTTGATGAAGACGAGTCTCACAACAAAGGTGATGATGTGGAATGTTTGCATGCTGCTTGTCAAGATATATATATATATATATATATATATGTATACTTATAGTTACGAAGAGATTGTACATAAATGCATATGTTTTTACAGATTCTCAAGAACTGAGGTACAATACGAGAAGATCAAAAAGCTATATGAGACGGGTTACATGATAAAGATGATGATGTGGAGTCTTTGCGTGTTGCTTGTCGAGGGCACTCATGTTACGCAGGTTCTCAGAAACGGAAGACCACTACGAAAAAATAAAGAAGCGATGAAAGACGGGTTACACAACAAAGATGATGATGTGGAATGTTTACGTGCTGCGTGTCGAGGATATTATGCTACGCATGTTCTCAGAAACTGAAAAAAATACGAAAAAAATGAATAAGCGACGGGAGCGGGATCACGCAACAAAGATGGTGATGTAAAATTTTACATGTTGCTTGTCAATGGCAATGTGTTGCGCATGTTTTTAGAAACTGAAAACAAATACGAAAAGACAAATAAGCCATTGGAGGGTAGTCACACAAACAAAGATGATGATGTGAAATGTTTACGTGCTGCTCGTCCGAAGATAATTATGTTACGCGTGGTCTCAGAAGGAAACGACGAGTACGAAAAAAAGAAGCAGCGATGAAAGACGGGTCACACAACAAATATGATGATGCGGAGTGATTACGTGCTGCTTGTTGAGGATAATTATGTTACGCAGGTTCTCAGAAACAGAAGACGAATACGAAAGAATAAAGAAGCGACGAAAGACGGGTCACATGCATACGCGTCTATGCTTGTCGTCTGCAGTTATCTCTGACCCACATATCCCTACGTACATTACAAGTACAGACTTCTCTTCACTTACAGCGATAACACCGAAGGATGGCCGAGTCCTCTCAGCGCTGCCAGACTCCCCTAGACTGTACGTAATTGCCTACGGAGTCAAGGCAGGCCTAGATACATGTATCATGCTACACATACTCACTTAAGTATCCATACATTCACTACGCTGCTACCTAAGTATTCATACACTACGCATGCTAGAGATGACCCGCTTACGTATCCATACAGTCAGTATGCTAGGAAAGTTCTCACTCACGTATCCACACATTCGTAATGCTAAACATTTGTCAGCTCTTTCCACTTTCACGTATTCACTTCGTTACGCTTCAGACTTGTTATGCTAGAGGTGGCTACCGTACCGTATTATACGCTTCTCATGCTGCAGGTTACTCGCTTACGTATCCACACATTCAGTACGCTGGGGATTTCTTGCTCACATATCCATACATTCGTAACGCTAAAAAATTGTTAGGCTCTCTCTACGTTTCCGTATTCAATCCGTTGACGCTTCGGACGTACACACATTTGATATGCTGAAGATTTCTCACTCTTGTGTCCACACATTCGTAATCCTAAAGACTTGTTAGGCTTACGCTGCTTCTCCCTGTTCAATCCGTTATGCTTCAGACCCCCATACATTCAGTATGCCGTGTCCACACATTCGCTATCCAGAAAATTTGCTAGGTTCTTTTGACTTTCATGTATTCAGTCCGTCACGCTTCAGACTTCCATACATTTGTTATGCTGAAAACTTCTAGCTCACGTATCCACGCAATCGCAATGTCAAGGATCCGCTCTTTCTACTTCTCCCTATTGAAGCCGTTACGCTTCAGACTTCCATACTTCAGTATGCTGAAGACCTCTCACTCACGTATCCACACATTCGTAATGCTAGAGACTTGTTAGGCTTACTCTATTTTACCAGGTTCAATCCATTACGCTTCAGACTTCCATACATTCAATATGCTGAAAATTTTCAGCTCACGTATTCACCCAGATCCGTTAATGCTAGAGACTTTGTAGGCGCTTTCAACGTTTCACTATTCAATTCATTACTCTACAAAATTCCATACATTCAGTATGCTAGAAATTCTTGCTCACTTGTCCACATATTCGGAGAATTCGTTCAGCTCTTTCCACTTTTACTTACTCAATCCGTTACGCTTCACACTCCCATACATCTACTATGCTGAACACCTCTCCACTCACGTATCCACACATTCGTAATGCTTAAGATTTGTTTGCTCTTTCTACTTTACCCTATTATTTGATCCGTTACGCTTCCGACTTCCTTCACCACTTCTTACGTAGGTTGCCGTGTGCTGCACTAGTGGCTTTCCAGCTGGCACACTCATGCATTCATTGCACTACAGACATTCCCCTCATGTATTTGTACATACCTCATATGCTTCCCACTGGCATAATCATGCATTCACTGCACTACAGACATTCCCCTCGTGTGTATGTACATCCCTCATACGCTTTCCACCGGCATAGTTAATACACTCATTGCACCACAAACAATCCCTTCATGTATATATACATCCCTTATATGCTTTTCACCGGCATACTCAGTACATTCGTTGCGCTTCAGACATTCCCCTCATGTATATATACATCTCATATGCTTTCCACTGGCATACTCATGCATTCATTGCGTTACAGACATTCCCCTCACGTATCTATAAATCCCTTATACGCTTTTCACCGGCATACTCAGTACATTCATTGCGATACAGACATCCCCTCACGTATATATACATCTCTTACACTGGAGAATTCTCGAGTGCTTATCAAGCTCTTTCTTCTCAAGTATTCATCTGATAACCACATATACTTGCGCTCCTTCTCAAGTGTTTAGTCTATTATACCAAATAGTCGCCTATCAGCTCTATCTACTCACGCACATACAGATATATATACATAGATGCATTTAAATAGACATACATATATATATAGGTGCATATATAGACACTTACATACATATATACACATATATATACATATATATATACATATATATATTATATATATATATTGTATATATATACCTACACACGCGTGTGTACATGTATATACACATATGTATATATATATACATATGTATACGTATAAATATGGTTGCCAAGGCAGCTGGGCGCAGATTTGCGCAGTTCCATGCGAAATAAGTTAAAGAGAAAGGAAAGTGTAAAAGGCCGACAATGTAGAAATATCTGCCTGTGACCCCCTTGACACCCGGAGTCACTGATCCTGTATAACGTGTATACGTTTTGGATGGCCGGGTCTTCGCGCATTGTATGTGGACGTATTGAGGGATGCATCTGTATAGCGGTCGGTTTGCTTATGTATCGTACTCTGCTGTATATGCATATAGACATACAACTGTACATACATATATGTATAGATATACATATATACCTATATATGTATATATGTGTGTATGTATATATATATATATATACATATATATATATATATATATATATTATGTCTATGCATACCTGCATGCAAATAATCGAGTTATTTGTGTGCATGTGCTGCTGCTGCCCACCATCGTAGCTCGACGGGCGCATGTCTAGCAGATGTGTATATATATGTATATATATATATATATATATATATATATATGACATGTATATATGTATGTATAGATATGTATATATATGTACACACAAATGTGTATACATATATATATATATATACATATATACGTACATATCATATATATATATATATATACATATATATACACATATACAGGTATATACATGTATATAAACAAATACGTGTAGATATATGTCCTATGCATGCATGCAAATAATTCGAGTTTATTGCTGTGCATGTGCTGCTGCTGCTGCCCGCCATCGTAGCTCGACGTGCGCATGTCTAGCAAATGTGTGGGGTGAAATGCAGTAGCAATCAGACATAAGGCTCGAGTTTCCGTGCAATTCTGTTGTAGTAGGTAGACCGGCCCAGTATACGAGAATTCCACCATTTAAATATAGAAAACTGAGGGATTTGTATTCGTTGTGTATCTTCTGCAGTATTTCTCTGTTAGTTCTTCCCTCTTCTCTAGTTGTCATTTGTGCGGGGTGAAAGCCCATACTCATCGACTCCTACAGACGTGAAACATATATATGCATATGTACGCACACACGTATATACGTATTATCTGGCTTCTTACACACACACACAGGCGCGCGTGTGCGAGAAACTCGAATATCTCTACATGTGTAAGTGTGTGGGGTATAATCCCATAATTATCAACTACTACGAACGTAAGCATATGTATGCATCTGTACACACCAGTATATATATATCATCTTCTTCTACCTACGTACGCGCGCATGCGTACCAGAAAGTCAAATGGTCAAGTTCAATGTCTACATGTGTGGGGTGGTATCTCATAATCACCAACTACTACAAACGTAAAGCATATACGCATATGTACACACACAAGTATATATGTATGATCTGTAGTTTCTCTACATACACGCGCACGTGTGCGACAACTCGAATATCAACTACATCCGTAAATGTATGGGGTGCACTCCCATATTTATCAACTACTACCGAAGGTGGAGCATATATATGCATATGTATACACATAGGCTTGAATGTATTATCTCTCTCTTCACTACATAGACCCCGCGCACGTGTATGAGAAACTCGAATGTCAACTACGTGTCCATGTGTAAGGTGGAGCCCCATAATGATTAACTACTACAAACGTGAAGTAAATATCCGAAATTTCCTGACTATCAACTAGAAACGTGAAGTACTATGTCCTCCTTCCCGACACAGACGCGCACGTGTATGAGAAATTCAAATATCATTTACATTTCTACGGTGTGTACGATGAAGTACATAATTTTCCACTACTACCAACGTGAAGCATATATATGCATATGCATACACATACGCTCATATGTATTACTATGTATATATATATATATATATGCATGCGTGTTCTTCTTGCAGTAGAGTCAGCAGCAGACCCCCGTGCAGTACAAGCAGCAGCAGCAGCAGACGAGCCCTACAGCAAAAGCAGGCAGCAGCCCTGCCCCGCAGCAGACACAGCGGCAGTCTGCTTGTAGCATCGGAAGCAGGTGGGGCAGCAGTCGCAAGCAGCCCGCAGCAGTAGCAGTAAGTGAGAGCACCGATGGTCGTAACCGGCAGGCAGCAGAAACAGCAGCAATAGCCGTGCAGCAGCGACAGCGACAGCAGCAGCAGCAGCAGCGACAGCATTAGCTGCAGCAACAGTAGCAGCACCCGCAACAGCAGTAGCAGCAGCAACAGCAGTAGCAGCAGCAACAGCAGTAGCAGCAGCAACAGCAGTAGCAGCAGCAACAGCAGTAGCAGCAGGCAGCGGCAGCAGTACCAGCAGCAGCGGCAGCAGTACCAGCAGCAGCAGCGGCAGTACAGCAGCAGCGGGAGCAGTACCAGCAGCAGCGGCAGCGTTACCAGCAGCAGCGACAGCAGTACCAGCAGCAGCGGCAGCAGTACCACCAGCAGCGGTAGCAGCAGCAGCGGCAGAGCACCAGCAGTACTAGCAGCAGCAGTGGCCACCAGCAGCGTCAGGCAGCAGCAGTGCTACCAGCAGCAGGCAAGCTAGAAGAGACATGTGGGGCAACGGTGAACGGCGTGCCGCGATAAGCGAAGATGTACGAAGATGAAGACGGACAGAAATGATTGCTGCTAATAGCTGCTGCAGCAGCAGAAGGGCAGCAGCAGCAGAAGGGGCAGCAGCAGCAGAAGGAGCAGCAGCAGCAGAAGCAGCAGCAGCAGCAGCAGCAGCAAGACGATCTTGAGCAGCGGGAGACTGTGGCAAGTGAAGAGTTAAGATGCTGGCAGCGGCACCAGAAGGAGTAGTGGTAGCAGGCCGACCCTCAGCAAAAGGAGCAGCAGCAAGACGACCGTGATTAGCAAGAAACCGCAGAGATGAATACCAAAGATAAGTCTTGCAGCAAAGATAATTTCTGCAGCAGCAGCAGTAGCCGTAGCTGCAAGACATTTCTACACAGCAGGAGACCGCAGAAATGAACAGCGAAGAATAAGTGCTGCAGCTGCAGAAGTGCAGCAAGCACCAGCAGCAGAAGTGCAGCAGCAGCAGGAGAAGCGCAACAGCAGCAGGCAGAACCGCAGCAGACCGCAGCAGCAGAAGCGCAACAGCAGCAGCAGAAGCGCAGCAGCAGCAGCAGCAGAAGCGCAGCAGTAGCAGGAGGAGGAGGAGAAGGCAGCAAAACAGTCTTCAGCAGCAGGAGGACGCAGAGGTGAGCAGCAGCAGCATCACGAGCAGCAAGACGATTGCAAACAGCAGGATCCTGCAGGATAGAATAGCGAAGATAGCAGCGGCAGTAGCAGAAGGAGCAGTAGCAGCAAGACGACTATAAGGAGCAGGAGGCGGCCGAAATGGGATAGTGGAAGATGCTAGCGGCAGCAGCAGCAATAGCAGTTGCAGGCAGGACGATTCTCAGCAGCAGAACGCTGAGGCATCAGCAGCAGCAGCAGCAGTAGCAGCAGCGGCATTCAGCAAGCCACCCAAGGCATCATGATGCGCGGCATCATCCGGAGAAGCAACAGCAGCAGAAGGCGGCAAACGCAGCAGCAGCAGCGGAAGCAGCAGCAGCAGCAGAAGCAGCAGCAGCAGAAGCAGCAGCAGAAGCAGCAGGCAGCAGCAGAAGCAGCAGAAGCAGCAGCAAGCAGCAGCAGAAGCAGCAGCAGCGGCAGCAGCAGCAGCAGCGGCAGCACAAGCAGCAGCAGCAGAAGCAGCACAAGCAGCACAAGCAGCAGAAAGCGGGTTACGAGCAGTAGGCAGACAATTTTCCAAAAGAAGAAGACTCGCAGTAATAAATGGAAGGAGAACGGCAGGAGAAGCTGTGCGGAGGACTTCAGCAGTGAAGCGTGTTGCTGCAGCACCAACAGCAGCAGCAGGCAGCAGCATCCTCTGCCAATAAGAAGAAGAAGAACGAGAAGAGGTAGAGACCTCCGACTGTCTCTCCAGTAACGTGGCTGCGAAAGCTGCAAGAAGAACGACAAGAGGAAGAAGAGGCTGAGGAAGGAGGGGGACGAAGAAGAAGAAGAAGAAGAAGAAGAAGAAGAGGAAGAAGAAGAAGAGAAGACATATTTCTGCTGCTGCAGCCATCTCTACTATCGCGAGTCTGGGCTTACTACTAGGCGTGTCACAGCTGTTGTGGAAGGAGATGACAAACGTTGCTGCTCCAAAAGGCACGAACACTTCTTTTTTGAGGCGCTGCAGCCGTCTCATCATCTTCCTTCTCTCTTTTTTCTAGTTCTTCTCATCATCTTTCCTCTCTCTTTTTTTAGTTCTTCTTTTGAGTCTGAGTTTTGGCCTGGTGCCGCTCTCGTCTACATCTTGTTTTCTGTTCGTCTTCAAATGTCACGTTTCTCTTCATCTCTGTTCAACTTGTCCATTCGTGTACACTGCTCTCCCCTTTCCTCCGTATCTTCCCTCTCTGGCATGTCCCGGCCTGTTGGCTCTTCCTTCTATATCTACGAATTGTTTTCTTCTTCTTCTTCTTCTTCTTCTTCTTCTTCTTCTCCTTCTTCCTCTTCTGCTTCTTCTTCCTCTTCTTCCTTAATCTCCTTCTCTTGTGCATCCCGGCCATGTAGTACTCTTTGTTATATCTCTGGATCATTTGCCTTCTTCCCTCTTCATCACCGTCAACATCTACATTCCTGGTTTCTTACTTTCTTCTTCTCTCTCTATTCTCGTATCTCGTTTCTCCTGGCGTGCTCGTACATCCTTCTATATCTATGACGTCTTCTCGTCATATTTGTGGATCGTTTGCCTCTTCTTTGTTTATCACCGTCAACTTACGTGTACCTGGTTTTCTCATTTTCCTTCTCCTCTCTGTGTCTTCCTCTCTCGTTTTTCTGCTCGCGTGCCGTACATCCCATTATATCTATGAATTGTCCTCTACTTCTCCGTTTGTCTTCCTCTGTATCACTAGGTCCCTGCTTCTTCTTTCATGTCTTCCTCTCTTGTAGTTCCTGGCCTGCCGGTACTACCCTAGCAACCTATAGCTGTTCTTCCACTTCGCTGTTCATCTTTTTCTTTTTATCTTTATATATATATATGGATACGCATGTGTATATAGGAGCAAAAAAGTGTATGTATAGCTCGTGTTGTTCTTCTCTCTCTATTCTCATGTTATGCATCGTTCTGGCCTGCTGGACTCCTTCAGTAATCTATAGACTGTTGTCGTCCTCTCTGTTCTCTTCTTCTGTCGCCTCCTTTTCTCTGACTGTGAACAATTTATCTGCTTCTTATATCTCCTGGACAAGTGTATGTCTCAGAAGCACCTGGAAGCTTTCTTTTCCCCTCTTTCTTCTTCTTCTTTCTCTTCTTCATCTTCTTCGTCTTCCTCTTTTCATTCCTCTCCTTTCTCAGCCTGTTCTTCTGCTTGTCGTTCTTTTTAATCTTTTTCCTTCTTCCTCTTCTTTTTCCTCCTCTTCTTTTTCTCCTTCTCCTTTTCCTTCTTATTGTTTGTTTTTCAGTATCTCTGTTACTAGCTGCATGCTACCACGTGGGTTGTGATATTTATCGCAGTAGCCATGCATCTCTCTCTTCCTCTTTTTTCTTCCTCTTCCTCTTCTTCTTCGTCTTCATCTTCTTCTTCATCTTCTTCTTCTTCTTCTTCGTTTTGAGTATCTGTGTTACTTGCTGCATGCTACGACGTAGTTGTAGTCTTCATCGCAGTAGCCATGCATCATCTTCTTCCTCTTTTTCTTCCTCCTCTTCTTCATCTTCTTCATCATCTTCTTCTTCTTCTTCTTCTTCTTCTTCTTCTTCGAGTTCGTTTGTCGATGGGTCCTCTCTGCTGCTCCCTTGCCGTCCAACCACCTCTTCGGCTGATAAAAAAAATCAAAATAACACGAAGAAATAGGGAAGTGCTGCTGCTGGTGCTGCTGCTGCTGATTTCCAGCTGCCCATCATTCCTCTTTCTTCCGCCTGTCTTCCGCAGAACCTTCACATATACCTCTCCTAGTCAAAGCAGGAGAAGGGTCTATTCAGGCTTCCAAACGTATGCACACTTCCGAAACAGTCTTTGGCTGGTGGACGTACACTCGGCGGTCGAAACTCGGACGTAGCTACACCTGACAGTGCTCCTCGCAAGCCTTATATACCGGGCGTGATTCCACGTGAAAATGCGTTTTCCCAACTTTCCCTTCCAAGCGTGAATACACAAGCGAGTGCTATCTCGATGTTTCGTGTTTTAAATGTAACTCCACCTGGAACTGCTCTTGCCAAGTCTTCCTCTCGGGTGTAGCTACACCTGCAACTGCTCTTTCCGAGTCTCTTTGTATTTCGGGAGTGATAACACGTGATAGTCCCTTTTTCCAGGTTTCTCTTTCAAATTTGAACACACAAGAGAACGCTTTCTGCAAAATTTGTGTTTCTCAAGGGACTACACCTGGATTTGCTCTTCCCAAGTCTTCTTTGTATTTTGGGGGTGATTACACGTGAGAATTCTTTTTTTCAAGTTTCCCTTTTGGGGCCTGTTATACACAAGCGAGTGCTATCTCTAACTTTTGTGTCTCGAATGTAACCACACCTGAAATCGCTCTTCCAAGTCTTGTGTTTCGGGTGTAGGTACACCTGGCATTGCTCCTCGCAAGTCTTATATACCGGGCGCGATTACGCGTGAAAATTCTTTTTCCAAGTCTCTATTTCAAGATTGAATAGGCAAGGGACTGCTTTCTCCAGGTTTCGTTGTGTTT